TTTACACACAGACGCCACAGACTCTCTTCCTCCCTGACACACTGGTGATTCTAAAACCCTTGAGGATGTTTCGCCTAACTGTGGTTTGAACAGAGAGCACCGGTACAGTGAGGAGGACAATGGAGGAGGTGGCAAACAGGAGGTTGAGAAAGAGACGAAAGAGGAGGCCAGATGGGCCGAGACAAAGGGCCAACAATTTGTAAATCTGTTCAGGAAAATGCGAATAAATCAACGTGATGTTTACGGTTAAGCTTTTATGAAGAGATGCTGAGGAATTGCTCATGATTTCTCCATGTTTTATCTCTGTATGCGTATGCCCATCCCCCTCTAGTCCCTGCAGCGAGAGCAGGCAGGCTGGTGAAGTTGGGGGGCAGGGCAACACTCTCTCTCTCTCTCTCTCTTTCTCTGGAGCCCGCTGACAGCTGCTCTGGGAGGCCTGGGGCTGCTGGCTACGACTGGGCTCAGCCACAGCCACATCCTGGAAAGATTCGCCGGAGAAGTCATGCATGCTCACGGCCACAGACGGCGGCAAACTGGAGCAACCTGAAATAAAGACGGCCTTGACAAAGACGTCCTGCGTGTTTACTCAGTCTATCCGCCTGTGTTAATATTTGAGGAATCCCAGTGTGGCTGCACGGGATGAGGAGAGAAATATGGCACACATGCATAAGTGCACTGTGTGTAAAGGGTTTAAAGTCCATCATAAGTGACTTTAACTGCTATTAGCCAGGTCGCATAGCTCGACCCCAAGACTGTCATGTAAATTGTCGAGTGGAACCGCACCCAAATCCATGAGAAATAAACTGTAGCTTGTCGCTTCCTTAGAATCACATGAGGCCAGGTTGGGAAAGGCTGCATACTTGGCAAGAGAAAGCCAGAAGGTGACTATTGTTGAGGAACATATCAATGCTACAGGAATATCACGTCATTAGCCAGCATTCAGATATTTCAGTTAAAATACTTGTTTTCACCTTCAAACCAGATAACACATCAAAAAAGGGTCAAAGAGATGTGATGAAACCTCAAATGAATAACCTAGACCAAAATAAAAATGGCTGGCTAACTTGGGCTGTCGATGCAGATGACAGGAGCGAGAAACAACTTCGAGGCATCAAGGACAAAGGAGGAGACGGCTCTGGCATGCACGGCCCTGGAGACGTTCCAAAAGGCCTGTTTTTGAAGCCACCGCACCATTTGCCCAGCGACTCTGGGGACAGGCGGAGCACGACAGATAAACACAGACACGTTGGGCGGGATGGTTTTCATTTTCATCATGACAGTGAAGCTCAGAGGGGTTTTTACACACTATGAACAAAGGTGTCCTCTGTGAAAGATAAAGTGGAAACTATTTCTGAGGACAATGAGTGTCTGTGTCTGTCATTTAAGTTTCTATATATCTAGTCCATCCAAGTGAAGAGGATATTGTGTTAGTGAAAGGTTTCCCAGCTAGAAGCACATTTTTGAACCTTATCATGATACAAAAATAAAAAGGCTTGAAATCACTGAGATAAAATATCAAGATTTTTAATTTTGTCATTTGTTACACATGACAAAAATAAAAATCTGTTTGTATCCCAACTTTTTTTTCAATGATTTTCTTTTTCTGGTCGACAGAAAAACCTTGTCATGGCAAGAAAATAAAAAGGAAATCACAGACTAAAAAGTCATAAAAAATAAGATATAATCACAGAATTATAGATAAAAATATCAAAATAAAGAAATGTTTTACTTTTCATTCTTATTCAATATCATAAGGATATTTTCCTATCCTATAAAACTACATTAAAATAAAGAAAATACCTGTTTTTTAATGTGAATCTGTTTGTATCATGATTTCTTTTTTCATTGTCTGAACTGGGCTGAACAACAACTAAGATAAAAACACAGAAACATATAAAATTGAAAAAGCTAACAATTGTTTGTTGGACTTCTTACTCATTCCCATTTACTGCTGTACAGATTTTCCTGGACAGGGCAGTCAGACTTGTCAACATCCAGTTATACAATAACTTGCTGACCTTCACTTCAACCAATCTTCCTTACCACACCTTCGCTGCATAAGCCTTTTTGTCAGTGAAGTTCCGGAGGACAGCTCCCTTAACATCCGCATCATGTTACCTCTGGGACCACCCAATGTGTTTAATCTGGGGGAGCAGACATGTTGTCTGAACAATGTCAGGTTTGCTTTCTTAGCCTTGGCTCTCTGTGCTAGGCCTGTTCCTGAGCATCCCCTCACACAGACCTCAGACAGGCCAGGCTTCCTCCACACTTAATTACGGCCACAGCTTGCACGGAGGCATATCATTAGCAGTAATTGCACACAGCATCCCATCGCCATGTGCCTCCCTTTTTTTTCTTTTTGTCCCAAATTTACGCCTCACTCATCCATGGAGGACCAATGATCTGCTCTGTTCTGCGGAGGGGAACGTGGTGTATGGAGAGGAAGGAGTGATGCAACTGCAGACCCTCCACGTGCGAGCATGTGTTCTCATCTATCAACTGGAGGAAATCAGGGTCTAAGCCTGGGAGTGGGTTTCAAAGAGGGCTGGGGTAAAAACAGGCACATGTGGACTTGTGCTGCAGCTCCATGGCAACTTCAGGAAATACGGGGATTACTGAGAAGCACAGTGTGTTTGTTGTGTAAGCATGTTCATGTGTGTAGGTGTATGTGTTTTCATATCAACAGTGGGACAGTTGTTCCCTCCTCCTCGGTTGTGGAACTGGTTTGGTGCACGTTGAACCATGAACTGTACATTTTCGAATCCAAATGAGCAATAAGCCTGTTTCTGCAAGAGCTCAGCACACTGCAACAAAAGAAAACGAGCTGATAGACAAAACACGAGAAAAGAAGAAAGCATCTTCGTCAACTCGACAGAGGAAATACAGCATTTAGAAAGACATGGTGCACAGAGATAAAGAATAGAAAAAGTGAGAAACATATGATGACACATGTTGCATAAACAAAACGTGCAGATAACATTACCAAATGCAGAAGTGCACTGAGCTCCTATTCCTCAAGTGGCAGATAAGAGATTGGTATATTCATGACTATCTAAAAACTTATGAATAAAAAATAATCTTATTTCATATCATGCACATTGCATTGTCATATAAATGAATACATTTGACCGGTAATTTTTACTTTATGATCCACAGAGGACGGACAAATCTCTCCACAGTGATCAGTCTATTTGTGTGTGGCTGCACAGCTATAGGTTGATAAAATGTGGCGTGAGTGTCATTCTGTGTGCAGAGCCCCACCCCCCAGTCTCACCTGCACAACGCAGTGGGTTGACACTTAGCAAAAGCCTCAGGTGGCGAGAGCAGGCCTGACTTGAGTTGGGAAAATCAACATGGACTGTACAGCTGCGAACAATGGAGAAACAGACGGCGTTATGGAAACGTTGAATCACTGAGCTGAAGCTGAACGTTCAGATGTAAATGTTTCAATGTGTACACAATACAATTAATCAATCACTCTAAAAGATTTTTATCACCGATACAGAGAAGATGAGGCTCAACTGGACTTCAGGTCTGAACAGTATGAGGCCCTTCCCTTTCTATTCGTTTCATGTGGCTAAATGAAGAAATAATAATTGGTTTGTGCAAAAGGAAAATATCTTTGCACAGTGGGGTATAAGATTCTCTTAAAGAGAAACAAAATCTGTGATTTTGAGGAATATAGTTGTATCTTTAGGCCATGGGCCTTTTTGGTGAGGGAATATACCAAGATCAGCCTGCTGCCTACGTTAAAATAAATAATGTGGAGCATCTTGTTCAGTTATACTATCTTTATGTTTCACCAATCACAAAATACTCCATCTTTTGGCTCATCAGCTCCACAAAGACAGCATAAGGCACCTTGTAAAGTACTGAATTACTCACAGGTATTAGCAGTGACTGTTACTATCTGTTTAATACCGAACACCTTTTTAGCGACCGGTCCGTTACACCAGTTCATGTGAGCGGAGAGTTATGACCTGACAGCCAGCAGACACAGTCAGGTCAGAGGTTTGAAACGAGAGCAGGCACGGGGGTGGGGCTGAGGCCGATCTACAGCTGAGCAAGCCTCCACGGTAAAATGATCTGAACAGGAGATAGCCAGATGAGGGGGGTCATCTCACCTTGACCGGCCTAACCCTCTGAACCGCATTCCAGTTATGCAACAGACATATTTAACCGCTCCTATTTATGACACGGAGGCTACGAATCAACATGTACAGCTGAGGAGACTGGATGACAGATGAGGAGGCCAGGAGGCAGGGGGGGAGAGAGAGAGCCTCTTATACACTGATGAGCATAGTGGATTTTTGGGGTTGTTACTAACCAGGCTAGTTTAATCTCCACTTCCACTCCACAGGTGAGCAGTCACTGTAACCTCTCATAGGAGCCTGCAGCTTGTCAATGGTTGTGTAAGATCAGAAAAGAGCAAAAGCAGCTGCTCCATTTCAGCGAACCAGAAACCCCCCACCCCGAGACCTGACTAAACCTGAGTGCATGTGATTGGCTGAAAGCAAACATGTGACCACAGAGAAATCAGAGGCGGAGAGGTTGAGTTACAACCTGAAACAAACCCAAGAGCCCACTCGTGAGGCTGGTGCTTAATAGTGGGATTGTACATTTTCTAAAATGCAACTGGATAAAATCTTTACAGGAGTGTTTCAAGAGACTTTAGGCAAAAGTGACCTGAGGGGGCTGTGAAATTATCTTCAATCAAACCTTAAAGTTACAACAATTGTTGTTGCTGTGGACTCACTCAGGTCTTCTCAGGGGCTCTTAAAGCTTGGAGCCCAAGGGGATTACCTGCCTTGTCACGCTGTTGCAATGCCCTTGAACACTGAAAATTAAAAGTCACATACTGAAATCCCCTTGACCTATCAGGATTACTTCTCTTTATGGGAAACCCTCCTCGTGACCCAAACCCACAATTGTCCACATAAGAATGTAGTATCCCTTTAGAAAAAAGTAATATCAGAGGCTGATCCACAACAGCACAGGTATTGCTTGTATATTTTATTTTTATGTACAGTACATGTAAAAAAAGAAAACAAAAAAGTGGCCAATAACATTGACCAACGTGGGCAACAGTAGATAGCCATGTTGCGCATACACAGGGAAAATCCTGACGAGCGTTTCCCCCTCAGGGATTACAGAGATGTCGACTCCCCCACTCCTCATTGTGTAAGGCTGCCTGGACACCAGCAGGGCTTGATAGCAAACAGTCAAACCGCAGATTATCAAAACGGGAGGAGTGCGATATCTGCTCCCCTAATAAGCACACCTCTATCATTGACAATCTTGTTTTTAGCCTGTTCTTCAGCCTCCATCTGAACAAACAGCTCCCAGGCAGGCAGGGAGGAGATGGGCTGGTTGGCTGAGCGTGACCGACTGTGTGCAATCTTCAGTTAAGTTTTTAATACAGACCTGGCTGTGCTCGACTCTCGCCTTCACCTCCTCCCTCCCCCTATTCCAATAGTGCTGCTTTCAACATAAAGGTCACTAAAGGTCAGCACCGCAGTCTGCTTTTTGCCATATGACTCAAAAGTAACTGCAGGCTAGTAGCAAACGACGGCAAATGTCTTCAGCACACTCAGCAGTTGAATTCACAGTATTCTTACAGCATGTAATTTCTTTTTCTCCCAAAGTCACTCATAAAGCTTTAACTGATAATGCATAGGGGGCTTTGACACATTTGTTCACCCATGTTTCTCCAGTGGAAATGTGGATTTTTGTAGTGTGTGTGTTCGTGTGGTGGAAAAGCTGAGAGAGAAACACACCCAAGTCAAATGCGAGAATACAGTGTACACAACCATCTGTGTCTGGTGTCCCCAAAAATCGTACAATAGAAAAAAATAAAAACAAAAAAATTGTATCTCATGTATCTCCAAGGCCATGGATAGTCAACCACAAAGATGTCTGAACTCCCCCTGCTGCTTATCAGGGCTGTATCTCTCAATAGTGTTTCAGACAGTGAGCTTACAGCAGGCCACCAAGGTACAGATAAAGTGCTTTTTTTCTCTTAAACATGATGCTTTAAATAATTAAAGTGATGTAAAAATGGTTCTCAGGTATAAGAGGGGTAAGTACGCCGATGTGACACTCACTAAAAGTTAATGAAAATGAAATGGAAAAGGAGACAGTATAAATACATCCACAAATGTAGGCTACAAGGATGGAACACTGTGATCGCAAGGAGAGCTGGAACAGTCACTACTGTCTCTGGATGGAGCCATTCACAGTTTGACAAGTAAAGAGGATTCAGGGTAAGACTTTTTAAATCATCGTAAAATGTGTCATGGTCCAGGGTGGGGTTCTTTGAAGATACCACCGGCGTCCTCTGGCTGGACGAGATGGACCTCGTGACTCGTTTGTGGTTGAGGACCGTGATAAGAGCAGCAGCAGACCGGCAGGTTTTTGCGAGACTTTAGTAGAAAGGTGTACTTAACAGATCATAATAAAACGATAACAGATAATAAATACATTCGGGTCTTTGTAGTGTCATTATTCGGCTCTATTGAAATATGATTAAATCTAGAAAAAAGTGGGAATAGTTTAGTTCATGTGGGGCCATGAGATGCCTGGCCTTTTTCCTTTTGCTCCCTTATCCAGTCTCAACGACACTCCACCTTGGCGGCCATTTTCCACAAGCCTTGAGAGAGAAAAAAAAAACGGCATATAAATAGTAGCCGTGGCAACCGCACGTACTCCCTCCTGGGTCTTGATGACAGAGTCTGAGAATTCGGCAGAAAAACCTCGGAGACCTCTCTGCAGTCCTCAGCCCCTATACAAGAGAGAAAGAAGAGAAGGAAGAAGAAAAAGGGGGAGAGCAAAGGCAAAGTCACAAGGAGCAAACAAAGCTTGGCAATTCTTTTTCACCATATAAATGGCTCAACAAAGACAGATATGTGCTTCACAATATGTCGCGTTGGTCATGTTCAGATTATGGAGCAGAACGAAGTGAACGTAGGCTACTTTCCAGCCGGCACAAACCTCTGTGTAGCTGACAAAGCAAGAAAAAAAAAAGCTTCCCTTATGAGCTCTGGTAAAAGGACCAAACATAGACTTGTCTTAACCCCTCACTGAATATTCTCAACTACTGCTCCTCTTTGCTAATGAGGCCGTTAGCAGAGTTAACAGAAGAGCTGGTAGCTGCCTGTCTCCCTCTCATATCACTCAAAAGACAATATTTAACCTTTGAGTGTGTGCCAAGGTGACGCAGGTTCACTGAACTCAGAAACCAGGGGGTTGGAAACGCCATATCATCTGCCGCTGAGACAGAAATCATATGTCTATGGAAGCAGTGTCTTTAAATTCCTTTCACTTTAGATCACTCTGCGTTTGTTGCGACTAATTTTCTGAAATTAGCACTTTTAACAAGCGATTCCTGTTGAGGAGTCAGCAGCACAGCCTGTGCCTTCATTAAAGCTGGCCCTAATGTTTGTTTTGCCCCTTTCAACACAGCCACTGCTCCACGGCAAGCATGCAGCAGTCACGGCAGACCTTACAAGTGTTTGTTAAATAAGCAGGTTGCCCGCAGAGTCGTTTTCACTCAGCACAAATTTCCCCCCGGAGTTCACACACGAATATCATCGAATGGGATCGTTTATAGAAATTTAAGGATGGGCTGACAGACATTTATTCAGTAATGACAAGGATACCTTTACAAAAACACTGTAGCACAAGATCCTCCTTTCTCATGCGAACATCTGAGGAATTCAATATAATGAGAAAAAAATATTACTGACGGCCTCTTTGCGTCTCCCAAAGTGACAAACCGTGCAAGTAGATTGGAAAAATATCTTCATGTCTTCTAATTCAATATACTGAATATTTTAGATAGAGTATGCAGTGCTAGAGGCTATTCAGTGTTCCAAAGTATTCTACAGGGCTCTAATTTCAGGCATATGACATCTGTGACAAATAGGATGACTGGAAATTTGTTCAAACAAATGTTGCTCTCTCTCTCTACGCTTACTAATGAGATGTAATTTTCAGATGTGAATTCAAAAAAACGTCTTTAGCAGTCTTTTCTGCAGTTTGCCTTTCTAATATGAAGAACGTGGCAACTACTGTTTTCTGCTCATTGCCACAAGCATCGTCCCTATATGCAAAAGCTCTTGAATCTTCTTATCCTTTGAATTGTATATCTTTGTCTGCATGTGTTTGGCACCTCTTTTTCATCCTGAGATATGTGTATTCTCTTTGGGGTTTTTTGAGTTTTGTGTCCATCACCACCACGCCCACTTCCTCGTAGTGACATTTTCCTGCTGTGTTTTCACATGGGCTCAATGTGACGTTTTCCATACATTTTACAGGAAAATGTCTGGAGCAGCTGCTTTTATTTGCTCACATACAGCCCTCTCTAAAATATCTGGAGATCAGTGCAGGTCTGAAAGCAGCTTTACTGATCAAAGAGCAAGTGAAACAATCTTTCCACTCGCAGTGATCAGGTCATATAATCTGCTGCTAATTAATGCTAATTTAGTGTGCAACTAGATAACAGGCCAAAATTAAATTCTGGTTGAGCTGTGAGCTCTTTGCTCAACCAGCGTCTGCACTTTGCCAAAGAAAATTTGTGAGGAAACAGACTCTCACTCTGTGTGACACCACCGTGCAACTGTGATTCATTCTGTAGCGCAGTAACTGCAACAGAATGATAAATCTTCTTTTGTCAAGACTGCGTCACAGTTGACTCAGTTTGGTGTGTCAAGTGCCAGAATCTTCCAGTTAAGCTTCATTCATATCAAATCAATTGTTAAAGCTGAGCAGCTTGATAGTTTTGAAACAGGACGTCCATATTCAGATCATGAAAAGGATGTTGTAAAAGTCAGGATATTTGTCAGAAAAAAGTTTGATCTACATTTCATATGTTCTGCTGCTATATCTTTGTTTGATTCCTACATTTTGAAGCATATTTGGCACAAAAAGATATTATCTGAATAATTTCATTGTAATTTGAACATGTATTAAGTAGCTGCTTCCACATTTCAGTTGAACTGTAACTTAAACAGCCTCTTTCCTTTCTGTGTCTTCAAACTAAATAATTCAACATTTGATCACTAAACCTAAAGATACCAAACTTGCATGGATTCAGATTTTAAAAGGCCAATTTGGTCTTTTTCCTCTTGTTCGTATACTCTTCATATTGTATAGTTTGTTTATTTTTCAGAGGACGAAAACCCCTCGTGCATCTAATAATTAGAGGAGTTCTTCCATTTCTGGTCTTTTCTCTGACACACATTGTTGATCTCAGAACTACTTGTTGGAGCAATGACTGAACACCTCTGTTCAAACTATAATGGTAGATGTGATGAACCCACATACAAAAGCTGTGAACTAACCTACGTGTCGCAGTGGGAAAGCAGTGACGTAATCTCTGGGCTCATGTGACCCACAGCTTTGGCTGCCTCCAGGATGGCTCTCCTGTACATCCCTTTCTTCTTGCGGTTGAAGCGGGACCTGAAGAACTGTCTGAAGGGCGACAGTTTGGCAACGGAGAGCTGGGAGGTTGTGGGTGAACCGAACCATGACACTTTCGCCTGGGGCCATTGCGCCTCACAGCTGGCCGTCTCCTGTTTGCGGGTACCGCTGATGCTGAGGACTCGCGCCGGCCACCAGGGGAAGCCGTGGATCTTCCCCCACACAATGTCTCCCACCGCCACAGCGTGACCCTCCTCTGTTACACACTTTGTCATGCTGCGCGTGTGCAGCCGCACCGTAAGCGGTGGCACAGTCTTGCAGTCCTCTCGTGAAGGAACGGAGGATGAGGTTACAGAGAGGTCTTCACCTGGTGCGAGATCACACAGCTCAGGTGAGGTGCCATCAGAGCTGAAGGACTTGGACTCATCTAGACTGTCGCTGCTGCAGACTGACAGACTAGAAGAATCTGCTTTACGTTTGCGGAAATTAATGAGAAGGGTAAGGTCACTGTGGCCCCGCTCAGCCTCCTCTCCAGAACTCCCTGACCACAACTCCAGAGAATTCTTGCCTTCCCCCGAGTCTTCAGAGTGGGGGAGGCAGGGGCCAGTGACTCTAGGGCTTCGTCTCCTAGTGCCGTCTACAAGTTCTGCCTCATACTCGACCACACTCTCCTCACCCTCTCTCTGAGGGGTTCTTAAGCAGATCTTTGGAGAGGGCAAGTCCTGACCCACAGTTGTGAAAGGTCTAGTAAGTTTGAGTTTGGGAATGGACACAGTGAGGCCAGACCTAGTGGCATCTAGAATGTGCCGTTGTTCCTTGGTGGGATCAGAAAGCGCCTTGCCGTTCTCACCCACGCCATTCTGCACCAGCTGTTTGGGGCAAAATGGTTTCACTGAACCGTGGACACGTGAGGGGATCTTGATGACCTCCCCCTTACCCTGTGGAGTACTGTACGAGATCTTTATGACAGGACTGTGGGGGATAATCACGTCACCTCCGGGGAACTTCTCCCCGTCGGCTTCCCCCTTTTTGTCCTTCCTAAGGCGCTTGCTGTCAAGGCTGGGGACATTTTCCCGTCGTTTATTGTCCTTGGCTGCAACGACATCCTCTTTTCTCAACAGCTTAGAGGGGATATCTTTGTCATCACCATCGTCGTCACTATGTAGTGAATTTTCTTTTCTAGACGTCTTAGTGTTGCTCATGCCATCTTTGCTGTCTTCATCACTATTCAGTGTGTTTTTGCACTTTTCACAGAGTACCTGCCGTGGCCGCAAACGGATAGTGCTCATGGTCATGCGGCCAGGCTCTCGCGTCCGCCTCTTCTTTCTCTTGATTGGTCGCGGAGGGGGTTGAGGTACCCATTGGCTGTAGCTGTGGCGCACCCATAAAGGCTGAGGGAAGGGGGCTCCTTCAAAATAAGGAGGGTAAGGAGCCGGTCCAGCTGGAACTGGTGTGGGGACGGGGCAGGGAGGAGGTGCAGTAGGTATGCTGCTTTCGGGGAGAGTCTCCTCATCCTTTGGTCTTTGTGAAGTCTCGCTGGGAGAATTGGAAACCAGCTCCTCACTCAGAACTTCTGGGATTTCACAACCTGGTTTGGATATTGGGCAGTCCCCGAGTTTTGCTGTGAAATCTGGTAGACAGAAGAGCCCAGTCCTGAGATGAACAAAAAAAGGACAAAACAATATGTTAATAACTGAGTGTTTCATTCTGCTTTATAACAGTTCTACAGTGAAGTTCATGTAGACAGCATAAAGTTTCTTGTTACACATGACAAGCATTTCTTGAATTTTTACGTTAGGTGATTTGCTCTTGAAGAATGATACTGTAATGCAGCGCTGGTGTTTCTCCATGTTTGATAACTAGTCCGTTGGGAAAACACAAATCAAATACCTCACTTTTTCAATTAGGAAATGAGAACCCGGAGCGGTTCAGAGCTTTTCCTAAGTGTCCCACTTTGTTTTACTTTGACTGGACACACTGACGCCACTCTCCTTGTCACCTGTATGCTGAAAATTCTTTTCGTGTGGGGGTTGGGGTACGCTTTACAAGCAGGCATCCTGCTGCCTCAAGCCAAAATGGAGCAATAGTATCACTGACTCTCTCTGAGTGATTTTACGTGTTCTTTTTCGTTCTCTGGGACCTGCAAACATGTCCAGAGAAGGCCCGACTGCCAAGTAGTCTTTGAGAGGTGCCTGGCAGGCAACAGTAACATGGCTGTGCTGCTTTAGTCAGGAGACAGCAGACAAAGAGACTACAGGATGCCCAGGAGCCCCCCCACCCTCCCCAACATCTGACTGAACAAAAACAATCCCATGAATCACTCGGGATTCAGAGAGGTAGTGAAGGAGCCAGGAGATTTCAGTTTGTTTTTGCATCCGCGTCTACTCAGGGCTTATGTGCGGCAAAATTATTAATTAGTGTACATTTGGGGAGCTTATTTTCCTCCCCAGGAGAAGTAACTGGCAGGAATAATAGTCTCTTGGTGAAGCTTGTTCCTCTCACCTTTTTTATATGTGCCCCTAAAGCCACAGAATATTAGCCTTCACTCTGACTGACATGGCACAAACAGTGCAGCCTGTGACAGGGAACACAAAGTGCTTGTTAAGCTCAGTGTAAGGACACAGCATACGACCAGCAATGATTCACCCCACTGATGCCATTTCACGATGTGTACAGTTTAACCATCTGAGTGATAGGCCTAACAAACCTGTGGGAGACAATAACAGGAAATGTATTTCCATGGGCTGAAAAGTAGTCAGATTTGTGTTAGTGACTAGGCCTGAAATATTTAGGCCTATATTAAGTTATTCTAAGGCCTGCCTTTTCCCATTAGGCCAAGTTATTTTCAGGACGAGTACGAGCTCTCACATGAAAAACCATTTAAGCATACTAAGGGGCAAAGCTGGTCAGATTCTGATTCTGCTCGTCTATAAATAGTCCAAAGCCAATGGCTTTTAAGGTGAACAACACTAAGAGCAACACAAGGCTTATACATGAGACACTCACCAAAAGAGGCAGAGAAGACACGGATCTATGTTAAAATTACACTTCTACAGGTTTTATCATTTTATTCCAAGGGAAAGAAAGGAGCTGCTCCTGTCAAACACAGTTTAACATGGTCCCTGGATCTGATCAGGAAAAGTGTTTAGATACAACACAACAGATGTGATGTATCAAATCTCACATGACATTTTCTATTGTTTCTATACATCAGGGGTGACTGGAAATCAATGCAATCAATCCACCTCTCAGAACTACAACTGTATTCCACAGTAGTTAATGAGAGTATCACTGTACATAATTGTTGTACACAATGCACATCGAGCAGCATGTAAAAATACTTCAAAACGTCCCTCATGTACAGAATACTGTTCATGCAGGGCCTACCCTTTTACTCTATACGTTTTAGCTGCCCTGAGTTTTATTAGGCTAACAATAAGCTAGAGAGGAACTCAGTGCCATTAGCTACTGTTTAAAAGAAGACATTAAAAACCTGTGTAGACACAGTCTCTATCTTCACATACACTTTCACACCACAGTCAAACAACGCGTCTTGTCGCCTTATTGTGGACTAAAATGAGAAGAGTTTGCCATTAGCCAGCAAGCTAACAGAAGCTACCTTGTCAGCTACAATAACCCATAGGTCTTTTGTATGGAGGCCCGGCTGGCTAACAGCTAGCTAGCAAGCTAGCTCGGCCATGTTAGCATCAGAGCTACATTAGCCACTAGCAGAGTTTAGCTAATTAATTTCAGATGTAAATGTATAAAAGGAATAAAGGGAACAACGCTCACTTTTTGCCGCAGTCGAGTAATATCCCCGTGTAGCTCCTCTCTCGGTAGGTCAGCGTCACCACCAGTGTATCGTTAACTATTTGATCGATAGTGACAGGTACCCGAGAGCCGGCCCGCAGCTCCTCGGCCGCAGCCTCCATGTTTCCCTGGGTGAGGTGTCCGGCTCGGCGGTGCTCGATCCCGGCCAAGGGAGCCACGGTCGCGTCGGCCAAAGATCCGTCTCCCCTTCGCTATTGAAGCAGGAGGCTACACCAGGGCATAAAATGACGCCATCACCCCCACCAAGTCAATTACAACAGCACTGCCACCGCTGACATCACGCTCTCTGTGCTGGAGGAGCAGAAAAGCTCCCAAGACAAGGCCGACCCTTTCCCCGGCTCACTCCGGCTGCTTTGACGCCATTCATCACTCCCGACTTTATCTCGGGAATGTCTCTGTTTCAGCAGCCAGAGACCGATGGCGGGTTGTTCTGCACGTCTTTACACTGGATTAATGATAAATATGGATTCGTTTGCTCATGGAGCAAACCGTGCCACATATTTACTGAAGACAAAGAATTATGGCCTGTTTTAACAAACCACCCTAAGACATCAGCAGCTTTTATTTATACTTTTACATGAACATTAAATGCATTTTTGCATTATTTCCCTTTATTATAATAATTCACATTCATCCCCTTTAAGAATACTTATATTTTAAGCTTTAGTTTACAGTGTGAGGTGGAAGGTGGCTTTTATAATTAGCACAAAGGTACATCATTATGTATATATCTCTTGTGCTATTGTGTATATTGGGCCAATGTACAATTTAACAATTAAACAGCTCAATTTAACACATTCAATCTTAAGATCTTCAATATATTATGCATGATTGGGGGTACTAAATGTAAATAAGGTGAAGTAAATGTAAGGACGACTGGTTTGTACAATAGAGTGTGACTCAAACACCATAAGAAACTAAAAAACAAACTCACTGATAATGTACAACTTATTTCACACATTAAATAAGAAAGATCGTATTTATTTCATACACATTTAGGGCACTAAGTGTACATGAGGTGAAATACCACTGGTTTGTATAATAGTGAGTGTCTGGCAGAATTTCATAAGAAAAAGGGAAACAAAAAAGAATCCTGCAATAGCTTTGTGATTTTTTATTTACAAGGAATCCATCTCACAGTGACTTGAGTATGAAATCAATACCACAACACTCAAACAGAATGGATGCGATGTCCCCGTCACTTATCGAGGTAACTCAACAATGTGTCTCTGGTGTAGATGGTGAAACATTTTTCAAGATCTTTTGGCCGATTTCTGTTCTGCTCCACCCGCAGCTGAGTCTGTATCTTTGTGAGCTGTGATTAAAAGGCAGGACGAAACAATAAATAAATTCAGATCAATATCATTGGAGTTCAATACAGATGAGTCGTGTGAATGATGAAGTATGGGCCTGACCTCCTTCAGATCTTGCTCCGCTGCTGCCATCTGCTCGCTGGCTGCGCCCCTGGGATTCTTGTGTCTCTCCTGTATCTTCTCAGCACGGGCACGGATCTGCCGCTCTAGCTCACGGGATGATCTGTGCACAGGTCAAAATGTCAAAGTGAGTGGCTGAACATTTAGATGCTCATGTAAGTCCACTGGTATCAAAGTCTTTATGAATGACGCTGGTTAAGATTAGTCACTGAAAACAGAAGAGAATACATTGTGCCTCTGAGTTTGGTTTATCTGTTAAAGACAAAAATGTTGTTTCAGAGGAACAAAGAAACTGCTGATGTTCTACGATGAGTGTACAGCCGGACTTTGTCCACTAAATGTCTCTAACTGTCCACCTGAATCAACATGGCTCTCAATTTTAAACCATGCAAAATAGAATTTGGTTGATACTTTAAACATGTGCAGTAAGATTTTCATGACGCAAATTGATGAATATATTCACAAACCATTATTCTTCAATGAGCACCCTGATAAGAAAGGGCATCCAAATGAGGATGGAGATATATGATAAACATAACGTATGTAATACTGGTTCAGGATGTTGTGGATGTACCTCTCCTCACAGTCTGTGATGGACATGGTGGATGTCTGTCTCTGTGGAACATCACTGCTGTCCTTCCCACCAGCTTCTGCTCCCTATAACAGATAGAACAGTTGCTTGTTACAATTATATACAACAGCATTGTATATTTTTATCTATATACATGATAATGCAGCTGTGCCACAACCCAACAGCCCCATTGTGGTAATTCACATGAATGAGGTTAACATTAAATATATTTGATGTTGCTGCTTGAATGCAAACATTATAATCTACTCTACAGCTACATGTGTCTGAGTCAAATCATTGAAAATAATCCATCTGCCTATGTGCTGCTGCATTATCACAGATCCAGCACGCTCCATCACAGGCCCTGACATCTGTTGCTGCCTTCAACAGCATCAACCACTTTGTTAAGGATCACTGACACTGATTCCTGCCATGCTGCTCCCTGAAAACCTGTGCACGAGCATCAAAATGATTTATCTTGTGCTGATTTCATACCTTTTGTTTCATTCCCTCCAGCGTGACTGAGGTAGTGCTCTACTGCCTCCTTGTGGTTGACAAGTGGAAACTGAGGCGATCCTTCACACATACCTTCTGCTTTTTTTGTCGTTCATTCTTCTGCAGCATTTGCGCGGACATGTTCTTCACCTGTGTGATCCTCGCTTGTGTTTGCCACTTCTGAAGAGCACTTCGGCTTCTAAGAAAGACCCAGATAACGATGCACTGTAATATAGTGATGTACATTTTTTTACACTGTATATATTAGTTTTTATTCCATTTATAATTTTCTATATTCTTTTACATTTTACACCTTACACTTATTATTATTGCATGTTACTTATTAAGACTTACTAATGCCTTTTTTTTGACTGTTGTTGCTGTAATACTACAAATGTCCCAGTGGTGGGACTAATAAAGGAAGATCTTAACTTGTCTTATATTAAGGTTGCAAAAGAGGCTGTAAACATTGACTATCCCTCTGGTTGTTACATAGTGGACATACTATTGATCACTTACTGCTGGTTACTTGGACAAGTGCCAGTGAGACACAGTATAGCCCAGCTTTGTGAAGCAACAATTCAGTAGTTAAAATATAGTAGGACAGGCAATAGAGTATTTTCTATACAACAATACATCAAGCAGAAATCCACTTACTTTATTCTTTGTTCCACAATGGCCTGTTTCTCATTCATCTCTTTCATTGCAGCCTGTCTCCTCTCCTCTGGCCTCTTCCAGGTCGGAGTGTCAAACAGGAGGAGCCTGGGAATCATGCCGGCCTGGGTTGTTGCCTTTTTTCTGACAAAATAAATTGAAACAAAACGCTTTATTTTTATTGCTCTCCCGGGCTCCGAGTCCCAGCGGAGACAGCTCGGGAGATTTTGATCGCTTGGTCTCCTCTGCAGAGAAAGTCATTAAAAAGTGTTGTGCTTTCCTTTCTCCAAGGCTCCATGTTATAATACTTAGTCCTCCCTCATAACTCCACATCTTAGCAGTTATCTTCTGAGAGAAAACACATTCCCCTCCTCTGTCCTACTTTCAGATAGTCCCCAACATTTTCACTGTACAAAACCTCTGAGCAGATGATGGATTCATTGTACGAAAACAATAGCAGGAGCAATTAGATACCATGTTGCTTTCATCTTTCTGTGGGCAGTAAAATATACTGTTAGGGCCACTTAAAAGTTAAACCATTGAGAGTATTAAGAGAAATCAGCTGTAGTATTATGAGAATATCTTTGTAATTTCAGGCTCTGTGTCGTTTTAGAGAAGGAATATCAGAATATCAGCTTGTCACCTGTCCTCAAATGATGTACGAGGAGCATCTTGTTTTTACAAATGTCTAAATCTTTAAAAACATTTTTACAAATCAGCACCGCATTGTTATAAGTATCAAGACTTTATGTACTCTGAAGAAAGAGCCACACAGACCTGGAGGACATTTTTTATGTGGTGGGTGACATCTGTGTGGTATTCAAAAGGGTGTCATAGTTTCTGAAGAGGAGACTGGTTCAAGATGTTGGATCTTGATTTGATTTTGTTTTCTTATTCTCAAAATATTATGACTGTATACTAATTTAATTATCAAATCTATTCTGATAATATTACCACTTTCCTCTCAATTAAGACTTCATTCTCGTAAGTGATATTATGGCCTTATGTGTAAGTGTAAAGATGACTATATATGATATATATATATAGCTTTATTATATAGCTATATATAGCTATATTTATTTTTTCTCTTCATATAATTCCATTACTGAGGTTTAGAGGTGCTGGTAGGCAGATTTTGCAACCTTAAGAGAAAGCAAGCTGTTTCCATTACCAGTTTTTATGCTAAGCTAAGGTAACTGGCAGCTGGTAATGGTATCAATCTTCCTCTCAAATCTCATGCTCCAACATGTGATGATTTTCACTTCTCTTTAACCTCCTTCAACCCCACCACCTTAACGTTACTTACCCCTTGATAATAGGATGAAGATGTGACTTTGGGTTTCTATCACCCTGAACCATTGAACCCCACTCAGCTCTGTCCAGCAGGATCATCTTATCTTTTAGTTCCTTGAACTTCTGCAGCTCGTCCTCATCCTGCTCCTCCACACTGGACTCCCTCAGCTCTGACAGCTGGAGCTTCTCCACCATAGGCAGCTCTACCAAAGAAACAACCATGGCAGATAGAAGTGTAATGTGCAACATAGTTAATATTTGGATATCAATAATTACTTATAGGATACAGAGTTATTTTCCAACTGCAGAAAAGATTTACCAGCATTTTAGGAGCAAAATCGCAAAACCACTAATAGGCAGGCAAAATATTATTTTTGAAAAATCTGTGTGGATTTTAGAGTGAGTTTGTGTTCAGCTATTCTTTTAGTGAATTAAACAGTAAGTGGCTAAATGCAACTTTTACCCTCATGTAGGATAAAATTAAATTCAAACATATAAGTATTCCATGCTATCTCAAAAAGGGTTGATGACATTGCATTGTGTAATTAAATGGTTTATCTTCAAATCTGCCACACTTAGTGCCAATTAAACAAAAGGAGATTTTCCCCCGGAGACCAGAGGCCTGTCTTTGTTAATAGGCTTGTAGGCAGGGAGATAAATTGTGTGATTGAAGGGTTCGGCTCAGCTCAGTGTGCAGCATTAGCCTCTCTTGTGGAGGGTTGTCTTGGGCTTCTCAGAGTGATTACCTCCAGACAGTGCTTAGTGACAGAGAGCTCCTATTTAGGGCCTGTAGGTTATCGATCAATTCCATATAGCTAAAAATATTGCGGAGCTGGAACAGGGTGGGGGTGAAAAAAAAGGGTCAGCTGCCTGGCATCTCCAAGGGAACAAGAGTCACACCAGTGAAGTGGTATCAGGGCAGGGATCTATTTTTGTGGCCGGGCGTCCTATCTTTGAGAAAAGAGCAGATGGCTCGGGTGCACGTGCACATGGCTGAACACCTTGCTGCTGCATTGTTTAAAGTTAAGGTGACTTTGATTCACCTGGAGGGGCCTTCCTTGTGCTAACTTGACGCTCAGCCATGATGCTCCTCAGGTACT